GGGGGGGATCAAACAAGTTCGTGGCACATACAGTCACCAAGTGCGTACTAGAAGGGGGGGGCTAAGAAATAGAAATTGGGTTGCTGATTCTGGTAGTCATTTATCTATTTATTATTGTACAGGCGAAAAAGATTAGATTAGAACGGTATCTTATTTCTTACTGCAGACAGGCCCCTTTATTGCTATTGCTTTAATTAGTCAACGAAAACTTTGAATAATAGGTATATTTAAGGGCAAATGGGCAAAAAAACAATTTCGACAAAAAATTCAAAGGGCTGTAACTTTTGATCTAGTAGTCCGATCTTGGAACTGTTTGAAATTATGGATTCTACAGGCCACATTCTATAAGAAAATATTTCCGATCGATATGGGACAATTTTTTTTTTCGGGGCAAAAAAACCTTCCTATTTTTCCAAAAATCGACTGCGCCAAAATTTCTCGAGAAAAAACTTTTTCTGATTAATTTGGGTGCGTAGAATCCCAAACGATTCGTACTTTTTCGATGACGTGTTTGTTCGTTCGTTGTTTGTACGTGTATTATTTTTTCTTGTCTACTTTTAAATGACAAAATTTTAGACTTTAACCAAAACCAAAGTTGCTCTCTATATATACCTTTATATTATTGCGTTTATTTTAAAGTGGGCGGAGCGGATAGCGGAAGTATTACCTAAATACCTAATAGCTATGATGATAACTCAATTCTTCTGGAGGGGGATATATCCCCTTCATCCCCCCCCCCCCCCGTAAATACGCCACTGTTGTGATCGTGTAGTTGGCTTTGAAATAAACTTTTTTACTCCCTTCGTAAAGATGTGTTACCTGTATTAACCATTCTAAGAGGTTTGAATACATTTATTATGATTAAATAATTAAATCAAAACAATTCTTACAATCCTAGCTAAACTGTAAAAATATCCCTGCTAGCCAGATAATTAAATTTATCTTCGAAAGCAAACAAGCAAATGTAAACGCACAAAATTATACGCGAATCAGTCTGTTCCACTGATAACGAAAATAAATAAATAAATAAATTAGTACCTTATCGCCTTTGAATTCTTTAACGTAAATTGTCGCCGGTTCGGGTTTCAACATCCGATTTTCGTTCAAATAACCCCAAGCCTCATTTAAAAACAAATCTAAACATTTCAAAAAAACCAATCACGAGCATAAAAGAAAAACGCAGCACGTTTTTTTAAAAAACAATGTACGTCTTCTGTGACGATCCATTAACAATTGGAAAACTTTCGATTTATGGTGAAATTCACTTCTTAAAATCTCAGAGTGAATTTTTCGCGATATGCGCTTTGGTTAATTCCGTAACACTGTTTTTTGTGATGAGTTAATTCGATAGAAAGAACACGAAGACGAAATCAGGTAAACAAATAAGGACCCTTAGAAGATGGTAATCAGAGAAAATGGGAAAAACATAATAAGTGAGATAGCGCATTATTATTTTCCGTTACTATGTTAAATGAAACTATAAATCGTCAATTATCAGCAACTTCCTCAATGATGTCCCAGAATGACGACGGTACAATAATTTATCTGCACGCACTTGAGATAAACGCGTGATGCAAATTGTTGTATACTTCCTGGTTCTAATTTTTACAACTAGAAGGAGATCCTTGCAAAAGTGCCTACTCTACGCCTGGCTTACGTACGCTTTTGCTTTCTTTTTGCTTATTTTCAAACACTAAAGCCGACTTCCTTCCTGTTTCTAGATGCGTTCACTTTTGGCGATATTGTTTTTATGCGTATGTGGATCTAAGGCCGCTGCACCGTCGTGCTCGTACGAAGGTCGTGGCACACTCTCGTCGACGTGTTACAATGCGAACGCGGCTTACTTCCGTAAGACGACCTACAGGTTTGACAACCTGGACGAAACGGTCCGATGCGTCAACTGCACTCTGCAAATAATCGAGGGCGGCACGTTCGATCTCTCAGGCAACCAAATTAAAAATTTGATACTGAACAACGCCCAAATCACCGTCCTCAAACCGAAATCGTTCATCGGCCTCGTCTTCCTCCGCGTACTCGTCCTGAGCGACAACAACATCGTGTCCGTTCCCCCGGAAACGTTCCAAGGTATTGCCAAGGTCGAGGTACTCGATATGGAGCGCAACAGCCTGACATCCCTCAAAGCCAACGGATTTAAGGAGCTTACCAACCTACGTAAACTTAACCTGAAAGACAATCGCATCAAGGAGATCGAAAACGGCTCCTTCACGGGCCTGGGGTTGCTAGACGAGCTGAACCTCGCCAACAACGACATCTTTGACTTGTCGGCGATCTTCACGGGACTCGAGAACATTGCCCTGGTGAACTTGGAAGGAAATAAAATCGCGACCATCACCTCGGGCGACCTGCCACTCCTGAGAAAGCTGAGCCAATTAAACTTGGCGGGGAACTCGCTGAAGAAACTCAGGGCGAACGATTTTCTCCCACTTCCCCGTCTCGAGACGCTCAACATCTCGTCGAACCCGATCGACGCAATCGAAATGGGCGCGTTCCGAGGTTTGGGAGCGCTCGAGAGCCTCGACCTGAGCAACTGCATGATCGCGAGCATCCAACGGGGTTTGCTGTCGGCCCTGCACGAGCTGCGACTGCTGGATCTGTCGCACAATCGCCTGGAGATCTTTCAAACCGGAGTCTTCTCGGGCATACCGGAACTGAGGAGGCTGAACATGTCGCACAACAAAATCGCGAGCTACGAGAAGACAGGGATATTTCCGTTGCATAGTCTGCACATTCTGGATCTGTCTAGTAACAGTCTGGAGGATTTGGACTACAAGCTGCTCGTCCACCATCTCCCGTCTCTGTCGCATATCGCCTTGGAGAATAACCCCTGGCCCTGCTACCTGAAGAAGGAGATGGAGGAGCTGTTCGTGCACGATAATCTCGTTTTCGATTTGGGGAAGGTGGAGGTGTGCAACGACACGAGACCGAAGATTAGCGAGCCTATCGTCAAGGAACCGATAACAATGGACGAGGCGAAGCCGAACTCTACCGGCCACGATTACGCCCTCTACGTGCTCGTGAGCTTTGGATTTATCGCGATTGTCGCTCTGTTCGTGTTGCACATGCGCACTAAGCGCGACATTGAGAGACTCGTGGGAAAGTATAACGTCTCGGAAACGCATCTCATATCGCACACCACAGAGGAAAATAATTACTAATGTATGTGTTTGGAAATAAATCTTGTTTACCTTTTCTCTATTTCTTCACATGCGATAGTTGTTAGGGGTTGTTCTTATTTGCCGTTCCTCTAACTAAAAGGCTGGAGCCGAACTGGAAGAGAGTTTTCGCTTTTCTTTGAGATGAAGATAATTCAATAACGCATTTTTCTTCATTTACCTTCAGTAACCATGACAGTGGAGAAGGGTGGTACTAACATCAGCATTATCTAGGCCTTTCTTCAAAAACGTGTTCCATGTTCTCGTCTTCCTATCCACATTTTCTTTCTTCTTGTCACCATGTCCCCTTCCCTCTTTCTTCATTTCCACATCAGAGTCTCGCCATTATTTTAAAAATTTTTATTCCCTTTCAAGGGGAATTACTACCTCCGCGCGTGCTCTCCATCTTTCCTCCTACTCCTCTCCTCCTTTCGACCTCAGCTCGTCCGTATCCAATTTGTTCATAATGTTTTCGTCCATGTTCTTCCCACATGCCTTTTGCATCATCCTGCGTCTTCTCCATGTTTGTTTCTTCCTCCAATATACAATTTGGGGTTTTTCCAATTAGCCCTAAAACCTATTCCTTCCCATTCATTCATTTCACCTTCTTTGGAATCCTACCAGTTCATCCCATTTCTTCTAGCCATATCTCCGCTCCGCCCATGAGCTCCCCTTTCACCATTGCATCGAACATCGACTCTTTCCCTTCCATTCTTACCCCCAAATCTTGTCGCTTCATATAGTTCCTTTATTCCGCCATTCAACTTCTCCCTTTTCTCGTCTTTCATCATCTGCCATACTTATCCCCTTTCCACTCCGAAAACACCTTTCCGACCATTTTTTCTCAATTCCTTTCCCACGAATCTGTGCAATACATGTATACACTCGATCGCTCCACTTCATTTTCTGAATCCCATCCTCTTTTCTTTCATTCCCTTCGTATTTGCGTCTTTTTATTTCTTAATCTTCTCATCTTCCCTTTAGACTCCTTGTTCCTATCTTAAATTCATCTATTACTTCCAGTACTTTTTCATTTGCTATTATGTAATCAATTACCCGACTTCCCTCTTCCTCACATGAATGTGAATTGCCCGTCTCAATCTCCCTCCATACATACATACCTTCTCGACCCTGTATTTTCTGAGAATTCCGCTAACACATCTCCCTCTTTATTGTACTATTTATCTCTTGATTTTCAATCAAATTTCGTTTTAAATCTTTTCCAAATTGGTATCAGGAGGTTATAATGTCCGAGGAGGTGTTTCAGCTCCTAATACGCGAAGGACCAATCAGAAAATTATTGTAAAATTTTGTCTGGCTAACAGGAGAACAGAATAGTCGAGGAGGTCTTTTCCCATCACCCACAAAAATATTTCGAAGCCAAATTTCGTTTTAAATCTTTTCCAATTTGGTATCAGGAGGATGTAATGTGCGAGGAGGTGTTTCAGCTCCTAATGCACGAGGGGACAATCAGAAAATTCTTTTAAAATTTTGTCTGGCTACCAGGAGAACATAATAGTCGAGGAGGTCTTTTCCCATCACCCACAAAAATATTTCGAAGCCAAATTTCGTTTTAAATCTTTTCCAATTTGGTATCAGGAGGATATGATGTGCGAGGAGGTGTTTCAGCTCCTAATACACGAGGGGACAATCAGAAAATTCTTTTAAAATTTTGTCTTGCTACCAGGAGTACATAATAGTCGAGGAGGTCTTTTCCCATCACACACAAAAATATTTCGAAACCAAATTTCGTTTTATATCTTATCCAATTTGGTATCAGGAGGTTATAATGTGCGAGGAGGTGTTTAAGCTCCTAATACACGAGGGGACAATCAGAAAATTCTTTTAAAATTTTCTGTGCCTACCAGGAGAACATAATATTCGAGGAGGAGGGTTTTTCCCATCACCCACAAAAATATTTCGAAGCCAAATTTTGTTTTAAATCCTTTCCAAATTGATATCAGGAGGTTATAATGTGCGAGGAGGTGTTTCAGCTTTTCATTTACCTACAACTGGCATCAGACTTTCGTTCACAGGGAGGTATTTCTTCTACTCGTCTAACCAGTATTCCTTCCACTGTTAGGTTCTCCCTCCAAACCACGCACCTACCTCTTCCGTTCTTGTTTTCTCTCTATCCCCACTAACCCTTTTACTTTGGTACTCCCTCTGTGTTCATTATCTTCTACTATTAGTCTCCTATAATATCCCCACTTACTTTCTTGCCCTGTCCTCCTTATCTTTCCGCAACATCTCTAATTTCTCTCTGTGTCCTTTCTTTTACCTTATTTTCCCTTAGTTCAAATGTTCTTGCCTCTTTTACGTTCGCATGTAATTGTGGTCAACACTAAACACACGTAAACGAGTATCTCTTGAATTTTAGATATGCCCGGTTCCCTTTTCGGTTAGGAACCCGTCTGTAACCCACACGCATCCCGCCGGTTATGAAGAACGGACGATCTGAGTTCAGACACTACGGCTCCCTGCCGGAGATAGTGATTATTTGTTTGGCGCATTTTTTAAGAATTCAAAAAAATGGGGGGGGGGGTTAACACATTTTTTACCCTTCCTGGTAGGTCTCATCGAAGTAAATTGGTTTGTACAAAGTATTTAAAGCATTGGTTTGTATAAAGCATAACCGTTTTCTACCAACTACTGCCCTTCTTTCTGTCCTCTTATCAAACTACGGAGTGGAGGGAGAGGGGGGGAAGTGGAACTAGTTTTATCCTTCATGGAACTCTAATGAAAGGTCTCAACGAAAGGAGTTAATTTCTACCAACCATATCCCTCCTCGACCTCTTATAGTGATCGGATATATTCCCTTATACCTCAAGAACGGATTGTCGGAAGAGGGTACTCATAAAGGGCGATTGAGACGTCTGCAAGAAATATATCCATTAGTGAAGTCAAAACAAAAGCTATTTCGGTTAAAAAAATGCGCTTTATCTGCACAAGAGTTGTGCACAATTTATACTTGTTTTATTTCTCCCTCTTGTTCTAGGCCCTCAACAGCCCTACGCCCAATTACTTTATTTATAAGACTTTGGTCTTAGTACCTTGATAGCATGAGGGTATCCTCCCAGATCCGCCCCTGCCCAAGGCTAACTCGTCCTTCCACTCATTCCAATAATTTAACCGTATGCTAGTCTTCCAAGACTCTGCCTCCACAGCTAAGAGTAAGGGCTCTAGTCCCAGAAACGCCGCCATGGCCAAAGTTGGCGTGGTTTTCATGGTTCCAGTGACTCCCAGACATGCTAGTCTCTGTACCTCGCCCAGCTGTCTCCTGTAGGTTGACCTGAGCTGCCCACCATACAAGTACATCGTACAGTTGTATTAGCCCTATCACCACAGTGCAAATCCAATATATCAGTCGAGAGGACAAGATCCATATACCGCCAGAAGCCCTTCTACATGCTTTTTCGCTCAATGTGCCCTTTCTAGGCCAGGCGAGGGTCTATATTTCTATGACCCAGTATGAACCCAGGATCATAACATGGGCTCAAACTGATACAAAACTGTTCATTTAAACACAAGTTTATTCGGTAATTGCTGTAATAAAAAGTGAGACAGTGTCAAAGTATTGCGGCGGCGGCGAACGGCCAAAAGGCCACGGCGTCTCGTTAAAACATTTCCTCTTCTATCTAACACATTTCCCTCTCTTGTCCCATGTTCTCCACTTCCTAATTCTTTATAGTTAATATAAACTCTTATCTAAACGCGCACCTGCGACAACATCTGTTTGCCAAATTTTAGCGATAAGCGCAACTCTTATCTACGACCGGAGAAAAACATGAGATTAACTTTTCAATATTACACAAGTTATTTCACGACGTTCCTTATCCTATAAAATGTAATTCCTTTACAATTAATTAAACAAAATAAACAACTGCGGGTATAAACAACAAAATGTTGACATAGAGGTAAAGACCCTCCGCCCCGCAATCTTTCTTGTTATGGCGTAAAATAGGTCTATACTACTCTGGAACATATTATGACTAAGTTTTGAAAAATTGTGTGTGAAATTCGTTTGAATTGCAAAGGAAGGTCCATTTATTTTCTAACATGTTCCCTTGAATCTTGTTGAATATTTGTTCTTCAGATGCTTCGGTTAACTGAATGATGACAATTTATTCGCTTTGATATTCGTTATCTGCATCATCTTCTATCGTGTCCAAGGTCTCCGATTCAATATTTAACCTCAAATGCGCCAAAAATATGACCTAGATCTCGGTGTTGTTCTTCCTGTGGCGCTTTCGAAGAATGACTCATTGCTGGCAATATTAGTAATATCGTATTTCTCTTTCAGATGGCGCAAAAATGGTTAATTTGTTTCTTCATCGCACTGTCGGCGTCCCAAAAAGCCGAAAAGCCGGCGATGTCTTGTTCGTATGGTGGCCGAGGTACGCTCATATCGATCTGCACTAACGCTAACGCCGGATACTTTCGTAAAACCTCGTACAGATTCGACCATTTAGACGAAACCCTCCGATGCGTTAACTGTAGCCTGCAGGTATTGGAAGGCGGTTCGTTGGACTTGTCCGGCAACCAAATAAAGCACCTCGACCTCCACAATTCCCAAATCACCGTGCTCAAGCCGAGGGCGTTTATCGGTTTGATATTCTTGGAGACCCTCAATATAAACTCGAATCTCATCGCCGTTATTCCACCGGAAACCTTCCAAGGAGTCACAAAGATTCGCACAATAGACGCAAGCAATAACGTAATCAAGTCTTTGGCCGCTAAAGCTTTCGTTGGGCTCTCCAATTTGATTTCCCTAAACTTGTGCGACAACAAAATCGGATACATCGACACGGACGCGTTTAGTGGCTTAGATTCGCTCAGGGTGTTGGAATTGTGCAACAACGCAATATACGACCTTCACCACATCTTTACGGCCCCCTCGAAACTGTGGTACCTCAACGTGGCGCGCAACCAAATCACCGACGTCATCGAAACCGACTTTAGATACTTAAACAATCTCGTGGTGCTGCGAATGCCTAGCAATTCCTTGAAGTCAATCAGGAGGCACGCGTTTCTACCGCTGCTCAACCTCCAAACACTCAACTTGTCCTCCAATCCGATTGAGGCGATCGAGACCGGCGGATTTCGCGGCCTATCGTCCCTGGAGGAGTTCGACTTGAGCGGCTGTCGAATCCGAAACGTGCAGAAGGGACTCCTGCTCGCGCTCCACATGCTGCGCACCCTCGACTTGTCCAACAACCGCCTCGGAACGTTCCAAACCGGAATATTCTCCGGTCTCCCGGAGTTGCGGGTTCTAAACGTGAGCCACAACAAGATCAAACGGTACGAACGGACCGGAGTGCTTAAGCTTCCCAGTCTGCACAACCTCGACTTATCCTACAACGAGCTGAAGACCATCGACTACAAGGCTTTGATTGGCCATCTTCCCGCTCTGTCGTACCTGGGTCTGGAGGGCAACGACCTGAGTTGCTTCCTGAAGAGCGAAATGCAGGAAATGTTTAAGGAAGACAATTTTAAGTTTAATTTGGGCGCCATTGAGAACTCAAATGAAAAGTGTAACGCGTCCAAAATTGACGTTGACACGTCCTCTAACCAAATAGAGGACGTCTCCACCGAAAGGTTGCAGAGCTATAAGTATTACGCAGCGGATGAGCACGAATACTTTCTTTATGTTTTCATCGTATTTTCAGTTGCGGTGCTTTCCATTTTGTTTTATTTGCACTACCGTGATAGAGTGCAGCTTGCGCGAATGAGTCATACAGACACGTTCGAGACGCCGTTAATCGTAAACTAAGTTTTGTTGTAAATAAAATGATTGGTCCAAAAACTTTGTATGCCACCATAACGGAAACGCTTAGCTTAGTTTTGTTACAGATGAATTACCACCCCCTACTGTGCGTGCTGCTAGTGCTAACGTCGGCGGCGGCCCAACAGCCCGCAATGTCTTGCAGCTACAAAGGGCGCGGTTTTCTCACGTCCATTTGCGTTAATGCCATCCCATCCTTTTTCCGTATGACCGTCTACCGCTTCGACAATCTTGACGAGACGCTTCAGTGCGTCAACTGCACTTTGCAAGTCATCGAGAGCTACACGTTTGACATATCCGGTAACCAGATCAAGCAACTTGATCTGACCGACTCAAAAATCACAGTTTTGAAACCGAAAGCCTTCATGGGGCTCGTCTTCTTGGAGACACTCAACCTGAAGGACAACCAAATCGTTTCAGTACCGGCAGAGACCTTCCAGGGCATCACCAAGGTGAAGGACCTGAACATGGAAAACAATCGGATTGATAAACTGCTGGCGAACGGATTTAAAGAGCTGACGAATATGCACAAGCTGAATTTGAAGGCCAACAACATTAAGAGTATCGAGGACGGTTCCTTTAACGGCTTGGGTTCCGTGGAAGAGCTCGACCTCTCCAACAACGAAATCACGACAATTAACGGAATCTTCACCGGTTTGGTTAGCGTGCGCTCGCTCAACTTCGAAAAGAACAAGATTTCGAAGCTCGATCCACTCGACGTCGAACAGCTGAACGTGCTCCTCTACCTGAACTTGGCCAGAAACAACCTGAAGGTCATTTCGAACAACACATTCCTGCAACTGCCCCGCTTGGAAACTCTAAACCTGTCCTCAAATCCAATTGAATCCGTCGAGGTCGGTTCGTTTCGCGGATTGGACGCACTAGAGGAGCTGGATTTGAGCAGCTGCCTAATTGAGAACATCCAAAAAGGGCTACTGCTCACCCTTCACCGGTTGCGCATACTGAATTTGTCCTACAACCGGCTCAAGGTTTTCAAAACTGGCCTTTTCTCCGGATTACCCGAGCTGAGAAAGCTGAACATGTCCCACAACAAGATTTTGACGTACGAGAAGACCGGCCTATTCCCATTGCATAGTCTCCACAACCTGGACCTGTCCTTCAACAACCTCACCGATCTAGACTACAAGCTTCTCATCGACCATCTCCCGGCCTTATCCCACATAGGTCTCGAGGAGAACTCGTTACCGTGCTACCTGAAGAAGGAGATGGAGGAGACCTTCAAGCACGACAATCTTATCTTCAGCCTGGGTGCGGACGCCGAAGACCCCAACTTTAAGTGCCCCACGCGAACGACCGTGGCTCCCGACGACGGACCAGACGACGAAACCAACGCGGTGACGGTCACCGCACCCGTTTACATGCAGACGTCCGACGGACACCAGTACGTGCTGTACGTCTTCGTGGCGGTCGCGTTAATATTAATGTCGCTCCTATTTTACCTGCAATATCGCAATCGTACCGAAATCACCAGGATCGTGGGGAGGACGAACGTGTCAGAGACGAGACTGATCTCCAGCGAGCTGGAGGACGGGGAGGCTTATTAACGTTAGGTATTAAATAAATTATGCAGCTTTGCCTATGTACCTTTAATAATAAATCGAATTTAGTATAAGTGCGATAGGACATTAAAATGTCTTAATGTGTTAAGGGCGCGGTTGCAAGTCATTACAGATTAATGGTGTTAAAAGGAACTATTAGTTAATGCTGTCAGGTATGGGTGCATTAATGGAGACAAATTTTTGCTTTACAAAGGTAAAGGCGTAAGTTATCTAAGAAAACAACTGAAGGATTTACTTAAGACTACAGCTGACTTCCGTAGTTTTTATTTCTACACTGAAGCGAAAAGAAATGAATTGATTTCTCGGAATAGTTTCGTGAATGAGGATTTTGACTCACCCGCGATTTTAATTTTACAGGTGTCTAACAAAAAAAAACAATCAACATCCTCCGCTAATTCACAGGTTTTTGACCGAACTTCGCTCACGGTTCAAGGCGCATAGCGTGAAGATTCTCCCCCAACAACCAACTACTACTTTACTTTTTTTATCGACACCCATCTCTCAGCTAAAACCTAAATCTACTCAACATAGTTTGAAGAATCCATGCTACGCAGCAAGCTCGGTAACGAGGACTGCAAAAAAAAGAAAAGCCTGTAATCTGCAGTCAGAGCTGGGCAGTATTCGATTTTGTAAATACTTTTTAGTATTCAAATCGTTTAAAGTATTCAAATACTTTGTAATTAAATACTTTTATGGAAGCAGTATTTGTATTTGTAACTCAAATACTTTCACAAATATTTAGTATTCGTATACTTAATTTTGGTGCGTAGAATCCAAAACAATTCGTACTTTTTCGATCAGACTTCTCAATCCAAAGTTATAGACTAGAAACCAATTTCGAAAAAAAATTCAAAGGGCTGTAACTTTTGAACTAGTAGCCCAATCCTGGAACTGTTTGAAATTATGGATTCTACAGGCCACATTCTATAAGAAAATTTTTTTTCCGGGTCGATCTGAGACAATTTTTTTTGCGGGCCTCAAAAAAGGCAGTGTATAACCTTCCTTTTTTAACAAAAATCGGCTGCACCAAAATTTCTCGGGAAAACACTTTTTCTTATTAATTTTGGTGCGTAGAATCCAAAACAATTCGTACTTTTTCGATCAGACTTCTCAAAAAAAAGTTATAGACTAGAAACCAATTTCGAAAGAAAATTCAAAGGGCTGTAACTTTTGAACTAGTAGCCCAATCTTGGAACTGTTTGAAATTATGGATTCCACAGGCCACATTCTATAAGAAATTTTTTTCCGGGTCGATCTGAGACAATTTTTTTTGCGGGCCTCAAAAAAAGGCAGTGTATAACCTTCCTTTTTTACCAAAAATCGACTGCACCAAAATTTCTCGGGAAAACACTTTTTCTATTAATTTTGGTGCGTAGAATCCCAAACAATTCGTACTTTTTCGATCAGACTTCTCAATCAAAAGTTATATGTAGACTAGAAACAAATTTCGAAAAAAAATTCAAAGGGCTGTAACTTTTGAACTAGTAGCCCAATCTTGGAACTGTTTGAAATTATGGATTCTACAGGCCACATTCTATAAGAAAAATTTTTTTCAGGGTCGATCTGAGACAATTTTTTTTTCGGGGCTCAAAAAAAGGCAGTGTATAACCTTCCTTTTTTACCAAAAATCGACTACACCAAAATTTCTCGGAAAAACACTTTTTCTTATTAATTTTGGTGCGTAGAATCCAAAACAATTCGTACTTTTTCGATCAGACTTCTCAATCAAAAGTTATAGACTAGAAAACCAATTTCGAAAGAAAATTCAAAGGGCTGTAACTTTTGAACTAGTAGCCCAATCTTGGAACTGTTTGAAATTATGGATTCTACAGGCCACATTCTATCAGAAATTTTATTTTTAAATTTTTAATATATTTGAGTGACAAGTATTTGAATACTTTTTACTGTATTCGAATACTTTTTATAGTATTCGAATACCTTTGATAGTATTAGAATACTTTTGAAAGTATTCGAATACATTCTAAAGTATTTGAATACTTATTTTTTAAAGTATTTGAATACTTTTCAATGTATCTGTATCTAGTATTCGCTTGTGCTGGAGGTAAAAGTATTTAGTATTCAAATACCTTTGATTTGTGTAAAGTATTTACTATTCAGTATTCAAATACTTTTTTAAAGTATTCTGCCCAGCTCTGTCTGCAGTACATCGTACGACTCAATGGAGCCACCGGCTTTCACACGTACTTAAAAAGGTCCGTTAGCGGGATCCCGTTACAAAAGCAAATACTATGCCTGTATGACCAGGTCGACCGAACAGAGGCGCTTTTTAATCGATATTGACACACAGTATCCAAAAAAAGCATATAAAAATCAGAATACTGAACTTAGATCTTATCGCGACAAGTAACACTTATACTGACTAGTAAAAAGCAAGAAGTATAGTACATACATCACCAGCACATTTTCATTTTCTTTGCAAATGGCTTTATTGGATATTGTAGGTAACAACTTTTCTTCTGCTTCTGTAACAAACCACTGACTGGGCGGCCTTTTGTATGTTTTAATAAAACTTATTTTATATCCAAAGACGATGATTTTAATAAACAAACTTCAAATGACATTTCCATGGCAATCATGCGAATAAGCAGCCCACTTAATCACAAATGTATTCGAGTGAAAAGTCGATATGATTTTATTTTTTATCCCTTATTTTTAAATTGTATTACAGGTATAATAACAAATACTATAAGAAACGCGTACATTTTACACTTGTTTCGCAACTATTGTAATACATTTTGGCCTGTAGCGCCCAAAAGAATTACAACTCAAAAAACATACCCCTCAAAGCATGGAAACATAAAATGAGAGTGAGCCAAGCTCTGACATTACACCTCAATGATCCTTAAAAAAAGAATTATTGCAGATCGACCGGAAAAAGACCTAGGTTTCGCAGAAATTAATTACAATATAGTAAACGAAAAAATACTGGAAGAAATAAAAGAATTTAAAGTAGTAACACGGATAGAATCGAACCACCAATCGATGGAAATAAGTCTAAAAAGAAAGACAAAAAGATGAAGAAATCAAGGAAGATACAGTTATGGTCCATATGAAGATAAGAAAGAAACGGAAAGATTCAAGAAAAGAAGGGAGATGTAGATATGGACAAGAGACACTGTGGAGACTTATAGAAAGAGACTAGATGAACAAGAAGAAGAAATAGCAAGGAGTACAGAGGAGGAGTAGAACACTGAAGGGTAGTAAAAGGCAATAACGTGAAAACAGGTAAATTATGAGTAAGGGAGAGATAATAGGAAAAAAGGGGTGGGAGAGAGTGTACAGAAGAGAGAAACCGATATACAATAGTGATTGAGAAAGAAAGAAAAGGAGAGATAGAGGAGAGGTTGAGAGAATAAAAAAAAGTACAAAAGAAAATGTAGGGAAAAAAGAGGGACAAACAGAAAGAGTAAGAAGAGCAAATCAGGGAAATAAAAACAGCCAAGGACCTTTAAAGGAAAGGAAAAACAGAACATATGGGCGAGAAATAAAAGCAGAGGACCTAAAGCGGCTCTAGATTAAGGTACTATAAGGAAAGGAGGAGAAGTGGGAAGCGGGGCGGTAGACGAGATGTCAAAAAAAGAAAAAAAATTCCTCTTATGTGATGGTTTGGTCCGTCTGTCTGTCCCTCTGTTCCTCGCCTAACTCGAGAACGAAAGGCGACCTCGACGTGAAATCTTCGCCAATCAATTTCTACGAGTTCAAGGATTAGTACTATTGAATATGAGCCGGATTGAAAGTCTGCTTTTCGAATACGAGCTGAGTGGTAACAAATTCCCTGACTGTAAATCGTATGCGATTCTTAGTATCTTGTAGAGTATATTTATAGAGTATGTATGCAATAATTACTCGCGCTCTAAACCAAGAAATAAGTGGAAATCGTTGCGTCCCTGCATAGTTCTTACAAATTTTAAATTAGAGCTTTCTACCTGCTGCCGTAAGTATAAACTTTGAATCTCTCTTCCTTGGGAGTGCCGTTTGAAAATCTGAACAGCCACAATTTCCAATTTCAAAGTTTGCCTGTTTACTAACAAAAAGTTCGGTCGAACATTTCCACGGGAGGGTGGAAAATTTTACGATGTGGAATACGAAATTGTATGAATGAGATACTAATATAGGGATTCCGGGCTAAGGGAGAGATCGATTCAGGTCCCGTCACCACCTGCTGCTGGGGTTGCTAACTGCCCTACTTTGTGTCTTTCTCCCTATACATTCACTTAAAATAGGCCAAGGGCGGCTCGCTTTTCTTTACAAATTCTCTCTCGGAAACGACAATTAGGTAACTTTTCTCGTTATTCGATTATTCGTCATACAACCCCCCCGTTCCAAACTAACGAGCCATTCAGGCTTGTTCCGCACGAGCTTTGTTTTTAAAGACGCATGTGCATCTTAAGTCACGTGTGCATTTAGGTACTGTTGCATGCACGTGCGAATGCAGCGAGTGCAGTATGCACGATGCTCCTTTCGTACGTGGTGATCGTCGTCGCGGTGCTGGTGCACTACAACGCTTTCGGCCGGCGTCATTACAATTCAGGTGAAGTCGACGATAAAATCGTGGTGGATTCCGCTACCGGCATCGCTTATAACCCCTACAGCAAGCACCATCCTGGGTAAGTTTTTTTTTTCTTTCGCAAATTGGTAACCAGAAGGAGATTTATGCTAATTACGTTATTTTCGCGAATCCAATTATTTTTTCGGGGGATCTTTAATAAGCAGGTAATTATCCCAGAGGGAAGGCCTTCACCTTCCACGAAGATTTTTGGCATTAAAAATTGGAGGTTGTCGCTACCTGATGGATGTCACCTTTGATTATAATCAAAGGGTGTCGCTTTTCGAAATTTAATGGTAAATTTGAATAAAGCAGCAATTTAATATTGGCGCGCGAAGGGGTCGGCACTAATTTTTACTATAAATTTAAGACGCTAGAGGTCCACAGTCTACTTGGTAACATTTAAAAGAACACTATAGCAGAGGTCCATCAAGTTACCCCCCCCCCCATTTAAAACAAAATGTGTTATAAAAATTTGAATATAATGCCTGTATGCCTGTTTTCCTTGAATTTATACGCAGGGGCCAATTTGACTCTCAAATTCCACTACTACTGTAACAAGTTGTGTTCTATGCGCATTGGATTGTACCGTTCAAATTTTCGAAAATTGATTTTCAGCTCCTGCACTCAAATCTTGAGGACCATCCTGAATATCAACCCCCACGGTTTTTACTGGTCTAAAATCAGAAATTCTGGCAATAAATTGTGCCCGGCGATGGATATATTTCTTTCAGAGGTCCCAATCTCCATTTGTGAGTACCCTCCTCCAATAATCGTTTCTTGAGATACTATAGGAATTATAACCGGTCACGATAAAGGGTCGAAGAGGACAATGGTTGATAAAAATTAATTCCATTTTTGAGACCTTTCATTAGAGTACCATGAAAGATGGTTCCCCCTCCAACCACCTACTACGATAAGGAGTAAAAAATAAGGGCGGTAGTTGGTAGAGAACAGTCCCTTTTGCTGAGACCTTTGATTAGAATACCATAAAAAATATAATCCATTTCTACACCTACCCCCAACTCCCCATCACCCATTTGTACAAACCAATCCATTTCGATCAGACCTTTAATTAGGATACCATGAAGGGTAGAACGTGTGTTCACCTCTCCCCCCCCCCCATTTTCAAGTCTTACTTGGCATCACTAAAGAGAAAATCTGAGGCCAATTGGTTGTCTGATGTAAATGTTACGCACGTTTTACTTACAGAAACACTATCTCAAGAATACTTCATGCCCCCCCCCCCTCTTGATGACCACTAGAAGGCTCTATATACTTATTTACGCCATTTGGAAAAAAACTTTTTACATAAACTGCATCATATTTTCTGTATTTCTCCTCTTTATTCAATTATCCTCATCGTTTATTCTCCTGCTTTCCCTTGTTTTTTCTACTTCTTTGCATTCCCATATCAGATGATCAATATCTTCCTATTTCTCTCCACCATACACTATATTTCCTTTCTTCTCCTCTCCACTTCTACTTTTCTCTCTCCTCGTTTCTGCAGCTTAACCCTGCTTTTAGTTTTTTGTTTTTCCTTCCCTCCGTTACATATTTCAACACTTCCTACGTTACTAGCTCCTCGTGAATTTCCGATTTTCTCTCTCAGTTGCTGTACTTGCAGTTCTTCTTCGACCGTTTCCCCCTCTGCCCATCCGTATCCGTTTCTTTCAATATTTTTTTTGTTCCCACCAAATCCCTTTTGTGTTCATCCTCGTCGATAAATATTCCTTCATCAATTCACCGTCTCTTCCTCTCTTTTATTCGAATCTTACCTGTTAGGCCGATACTTCCCGTATTCGCTTCCCGCTTTCGTCCGCCCCGGGAGGTAGGGAGAAAGGCTGCGCGCGGGATCGTTTTTAGGTAAAATCGCAAGTATGAATATTCGGTGCGGGAGAAGGATAGATAAATACCTTCATTTGCATCATATATTTTTTACATTTTTCCCTTTTTCCTATTAGATAGATAGATAGATATATAGATGTATATTGGTGCTGTACAAATGTATAAATATGTTTGCACACGTCAAATTGCAAATATTATCTCCTGCATCCTTTTTCTCCTCTTCCTTTCTCTTTCCTGCCTCGTTACATTATTTTCCTCTTTCTCTCCATGTAGTCTGAATTTCCTTTTTTCTTCTTCTCTCCAATGCTCTTTTCCTCTTTCATCTTGGTCACTTTTTGTAAGTTTGTAAGTTCTTCGTCCATTATTTCTCTCCTTCTTTCAACATCTGCCCATGGTATCCGTTTCTTATATTATTCTTTTTGTTCCAACCGTTTTACTTTTATGCTCGGCCTCGTTGACAAATTTCCCTTCTTTTTATCTCCATCTCTTATTTCCCCCTTTAATATATAACTTGATGTCCTTCCGTTTAGTCCCTCAATTGTATCAAAAACTTGTTTTCCTATTCTGAATTCGTTTTTTGAATTTTTCTCCCAAATTCCACATATCTGTCCCACCGCCACTTTTCCCTTTTTTTAATTTCCCATATTTGTGCGTTTGCCCCGTTTTTTTGTTGCATCAGTTATACTAAATATTTAAATTCTCTTACTTACTCCCTCTCCTCCTTCCACTTCCATTATACCTCCCTTTTCCTTCCGCCCCTCTACCGAAATATCATCATCTTAGATTTTTCGACATTTAATTCCCCTCCTTTTCGTTACCAGTGCCTCGCCAATCTTCCCATCATTTTCTTCATCTGTTTTTCCTCTGTTTCTATTATTACTATGTCATCAGCGTATGCCAGGGACCATATCTTCCTTCTTTCCACTACAATTCCTCCACTTTGACGCCGTCTGAATACTTTCTCCATCTCTTATGTAAAAATTAATAATAAGGTTGAGTGTATCATCTAACCCCTTATCATCCTTTTCTCTTCTATTTCCCTTTCTGATCATTCATTTAACACCCTCGGATATATTCTGTACGCAGTCGTCATTATGGCGATTCCCGTATAGGCTTTCTCCCCTCTTTTATGAATCGACCCATTCCTTCCATTATGCCTGTCGTCCTCCGCCTTTCCATATTTTGTTTATTAGTTTTCTCAGCTTTTTCCTTGATATTATCTGTGGTGAAAATCCATACATCATTTTTGATTTCATACCTCCCCGCTGAATTCCCCCCTTCCCCTGTTCCTCTGTCACACCCATCTTCTCCTACTTTTCTTGTGGTACCTTCATAAAGTGCTACTTCCAGTTCTCAATTTGTATGTCTCTCCCACTTATTCGGTTTTTCTTCTCGTTTTCTCTGTTTATCATCTTCCAAAAGTTCATCTCTTTGTTTCGCTGATTTCTTCTTCTTCTTTTTCCTATATCTTCTGTTGCATTTTCTGTTGTACTTTTTCTGTTCTCTTCTCTATCTCTCCCTTTCTTTCTTTTTCCATCATTGTTCTGAATCTGGTTATCTCTTCTATATTCTCGCTGTCCCACCACTCCTTTCTTCCTTGCTTTACCTGTTTCCACATTGTTGCTTTTTACTGCATTCTTTAAGAATAAAAAAAATGTGCTATTGTTTACGTTTCCTCCGTCCGTCCGTCCGGACCCACTCCTATCATTTTGAACTATTTCTATGGGAATGGTCCTAGAGTCCTGGAATTTTTTACAGTAGGTAGCCTATACCTTGAAGGTGTGCCAGAAGGCCATCAAATTTCGCTGTCTAAAAGGGGAGCCTCCCCACGAATTATTTTCTGAGATGCTGTTTTGATTTTGCAAACCCATGCCTTTAGTGGCGCTAAGTTAAACTTTAGGAAATGGGGGGGGGGGGGGGGTAAACACATGTTCTACGTTTCATGGTATTGTAACGAAGGGTCTCATCGAAATAAATTGGTTCGTACAAACTATAACTATCCCCTGCGACTCCTTTTCGAGATCAGTGAGCGACAGGACCTGAGGGGGGGGGGTAAAAATTAATTTTATCTCTCATTGTATTCTAATTAAAGGTCTCAACGGAAGGAACCGTTTTCTTAAAAAAATGCGCTTTATCTGCACAAGAGTTGTGCACACTTTATACTTCTTTAATACTCTCCTTCCTAATTTTCCATTCTGTTTTTTCTCCTATTTCTTCTTAATTACCTTCCATTTTAGACTTAGGTACTTATTTTCATTGATTAAATTCTCCTCTCTATTTTCTGTTAATTTCAGTAACAAACTCGCCCTCTTTGTTACATTTTTGATCTCTTGACTTGTGTCCCTTTACCCATTCTCCTTTATTCCCTGTTCTGGAATTTAAATCTCCCCCACCCCTCTAATATTGACCTCTCCTGTTGGAATGATCGTGAAATTGAGATTCTCGACGGTGCGTAAAGCCACCTTATGATCTCCCCGTTAACCGGAAATGCTTTCTACAGGTGATCTGGTGCTGATGATATCAAACTTCCCTTCCGAAAACAATCGGAGGACTGCCAACCCCTTTTTGGGAGTTTACGTGCATTTTGGTTTTTCAAGTCACCAGGTCACGTTCGGAAAAAATTCTTCCACTGAGAGGAGAGTCCGGGCCTCGTTTCGGTTCGAAAGCTACAACAATGATCAGGTGCTAATTTACAGGCACGTAAAGCAATCCGGCGGAAATGATCAAACTGAAAGTAGAAAAGGAGGTTTTGTGATCGAAGCTCCTACACTTATACAATGAAAAAACTCTAATTAAAATTGACGTACTGCTTTTATTCATGTTCTTTGATACTGCGCCAAATGAAAGATACCTACAAGCAGCGTGTACTGATCCGCCTACAGTCTGCGATTCCCACGTCGATGCTGAATGTAGATTTTAATACAAAGACGACAAAAGATATCTCGTCAATTTACACGGGCCAGGATGTAAAGAGAACATAAAGGTAATGGAGCGTTTGAGTAGGTGGCGAACGCATACCTGGTAGAAAATTTTATTCGAATTTGAAATAAATGTAAATGGGACCATTTTTTCGCGTAGTACTCGTACGTATATCCGATTTCTTTGTTATATTCCGACGGATTTGCATAATCAGAAGCGAATTGGCCGTCGCTTTGGGGTGGAGTAAAACGCGTAGGAGAAGGTATGATTACTTCCCGCGGTCGGTCTGCGCAT